TATATAAATATATATAATGTGTGTGTATGGCTATGTGTGCATGTGTAGATATTTGTCTATCTTCGTATGTCCTTTAGCAGTTATATTCGGTCTACTTCATATATGCATATGTATACACATATATGCTTATATTTGTGTCTGTCGGTATATATTACAGATAAGTACGTATACGCTATACATATATTTTCTTGAGCTATATCTATGCCCTTAGCGTGTAGCAAGCAGGTATATAATTATAGTTGCAACCATAATCATATGAATCCTTAAGAATGTAGAAATATATTTATAGTGCATGGTAACGTGCTAAACTCAAGGACGTCGCAGACATTCAATAGACTCACAACGGAACTCTACTAAAACTATCCTAATTCGAGAAAGATAGGAAACGAAGAACGTAGCGATGTACTTACGTTGTCAGGTGCTGGCTACCACCCGGTATTATAAGCTGGGATACTACTGACTTGCAGATATCGTGTCGCACACTCAGTGGGAAAGTATCAAGAACACCGGACGAGACATCTTTTCCCAGAAGACCCAAGCCGGCATCGTAATACATGGCTATATTGATGTTGGTTGCAAGTTAATCCGTGCATTCACTTTTACATACGTACGAGCTAACGATATAGTAACTTTGGTTGATGTACTAGCTTGGGTATCTTTAAGGCTGTATGGCGCTGAGCTGATATGTAGTTGTTTGAGCTTTAGTAGTGAGCACGTCAGTATATCTCAAGCCTAATCGTCTAAGCCGTCAGCACACCATATCGATCAGGACACAGCGTTGTGTACATGACTCTGTCGGCCCGGTGACGCTATAGAGATTGAGAGATTAGCTGAAACTGGTATATGATCGCCTTTTAACAGCTCAGCTGTGGATATTATTATTAATTTTTATTATTTTATATGATACAGAAAAATAGTAGAGAAGAAGCCAAAAATTGTTGGAAAGCCGAGAGTAGCCGACACCTCAAATCTCATAGATTCGCAAAGTGCGGAAAGTTCGGAACCTTGTTTGTTTATATTTATTTCTAAAATATTGTTTCGAAACCCCTTCTGATTTTCTGAAGTGAAAGTCTGAACCAAGAGACCTAAGAACAGAACATATAATTCATTCGGTACAGTACAATAACAGATTTTGTATATAGACTATATATGCAATGAACATCAGAATCGCGTTTCCATCGCCGTATTCTCCCCAGAGAGCGACAAGCTGATTTCGTTTCCAGTACAGAATAAATATGAATGTGTAATTTATATGGAAAAAAGTTCATGTTATAGAATTGATAATGGCCAAAACCTTTTATCCGCATCAACCTCGATTAGATAAACGTTGTTAACTAATCTGTTCAAAAACATAATTTCCCAATAAAGAAATCGTACAGATCTCGTTTAGGTATCAGCAATGGGTGTGTGATGGGTCAATTTGCAGGTACACTTGTTATTGTAGTTGTACTGTGCGTGACCTCAGCTTTTGGCAGTTTTAAATGCTGGTACCAAAAAATCCTCTCTTTAGTGTATTGCAAGATGTAGATCGTGTTGCACACTTGTTTCATCTCATCATTCTAGTACTATTGAGATGTAATAGTGGAAAGAAAAGTTTGGGACGGTGTATTTTTATGCAACTATTACTGACTGCTAGAGCTTGACGTAACTACGTGTAGCCAGCAGTTGGTAGCATAATTCCTGCAGCTAAACTCATTAGATAAACATAGACATCTTACGGTTAATAAGATGCGAGCGATTTCAGCTGTCTATGGACACCCGACAACAGCAAAGAAGTTTAGTCAGGTCCAGAGAAAAAGTCAAACTCGGGAAACCCCAAAATGTACTAGTAGTCCTGATGTTTTCGAAAGGCACATACATATGTTGGCAACGTCTTGATGTGTATCGATTTTCGATTTGGGAACCCAGTATTTGGCGAAAACACAAGGGAGCTGAATCTCGTTTGGTAAAAGCCTTCTTGAAAAAAAAAACAATCGCTTCACTCATTTCACATTTGATTGGAATTTTGGTTTGTTTTTATTTCAAAAACAAAAAACCCTAAACATGCCCCCCAAAAGATTTTTTCGCAGCTCTTCATGTGTAAATATGTCAGGGGGTCAAGAAGAAAGCAATCATATGGTATCAAATGCTCAAGATGACATATTGATAAAAATCGTTCCGAAAAAGTTCATATAAAAGCGGGAAAAACGATGTTCCAACTTTTATACTTGTTTACTTACAAAACACAACATAAATTACAGCTTCGCATCATGATGAGCTTCTCTGACTTTTCCGATTTAAACGCTGCTGCCACACCCTACTCTCAAGCCGTGCCTAACGATATCCCACATAATAAATACTCGGTGTCGCGAGTCGATTTTGGTGTTTTCAAACATGACACAGGTATCCGAGGTTTTCTACGGTTTCTTCGCCTGAGAAAGTACGTTCCTTTGTTTGAAGAGAATAATGTCAACTTCATGGAATTGCTTGGCATGGATGAATCAAATTTACTTGAACTGGGAATTGTCGCGAAAGGGCCAAGGACACGTTTGGCGAAAGCAATCATCCGCTACCATAGAGTTCAGAGTAGAAGGTGGACCCCAGTCTCGACAACGGATTCGATCATCGGAGGTCCTATCACAGCACAAATACCTCAGAGCGGACTATTTGTGAGACCAACCAGTTGGGAATGTAGACGGAGTAGTTGTAGTTCCAACGACAGCGGGGACACACTCTTCGGTGGTACTTATTTCAGTGATGATACAGAGGAAGAAGAACGCAGCGGTACGTTGCATACACCTCCTATCCCGAATGGCACGACCTTTACGTTTGTTGATAGTACTACTAGTGACAATGGACACGACAATGATGACGAAGATGAAGTAGTCTACGAGAATTCATGTCTCATAGTACGAGATATGATGGTCTCGTTAACATTATAGAAGTGCCCTTAAATAATAATCATTCCTGTACAACAAGTATAAAGACGCTTTAAAATAATATCGATAATAAAATGAACTTAGAGAATACGAAATTAGATCTAGCCTTGTATTTATGAATGAGTTATACGATTAGATTGTTTTTTTTTAACGAAAGGGCTGGCACATGAAACAACAGGCTTTCGATTTTAGTATTATTAAATACAATGCGCCGATACTTGCTAAATACAATGACACTCCATTGAGTCCATTCTGACGAGGTACATAGGACGAGAGATAGTATGTGTGTGATTTTCTCATTTCTGAAATGGTATCTGATTGTCAGGATGTGCAATACTAATATTTATAAAGCTATAAACAGCTTCACTCCTTCTAAAAATCCTCAGCAGAATCACTTTTCATGTATGTACCGTTGAGAATACGCAGCGATAAATATAGTAAAGTTGCTCAGTCTCAGAGCTTCAGAGCCTCAGACTTGAGACTAGGCTCAGACAAAGTTATGACTTATGAGTCATCACTCATCAGTGGTTTAAAAAAACAAAACAAAAAAACTCAGTCACAGTCTGACTCTGATACCAGAACTTCCCACTCTTGAGTCATGAGGCTCGCTCCCCACACATTCAGGGGCCCAGCCGCCCAGGCCCCAGGGCCGGGCTAGGGATATATATATCTATATATCTATATATATCTATATATCTATATATATCTATATATATATTAGGGGGCACGGCCAAGGGCACGGCCAGAGGGCAGACAGATCGGCAGAGAGCGATATCACTAATATTTATGTACAGTCTCCCCAGATTGTCCAGAAGCTAGAACTCGGAAGTGTCGCATTTTTTTTATTTTTCAATAAAAAAAACGGATCCGAATCTGTCTGTACAAGGGGTGTCCGAGATCTCCCAGTAGCCACACAACAAGAGTGGGTATTTTTGTATTGCATCTTTGTCTTTTGTAGTTTTTTTAAACAAAAAGTATTGTCTCAAATTCACCGAGTATGTGATTCAACATGCAGCACACTGCAATCTGCACTCTGCAGTCGCAGAGTGCACACAGCGCCAGGCCGCCAACAGCCCAGCACTATTGTCGCACACAAGTGACAAGTCCCTCTTGTGAGTTGTGACTTCACTGTGTGAGGCATGCACCCTGGCACCTCCCCAGTGATGAGTTTATTCATATTGAGTGACCTGTAGCCTGTAGCCTGTGAGTCTGTGACCACTCCAACCTTACCGCCCTGTGGCCTGCCGCCTGTGGGCTGTGCCCTGTAGTTATGGGCTGTGGCCCTGGCTAAGTACTGGCCCTAGCTCCTGTCGGCCACTGCTACTGGGCACTGTCCCTGTGTCGGCCTGTCCCCAGACTAACGACTCCCCACTCCCCCACTCCTCTGTCCTCGCACCTCGGTTCCGGAGCTCCCACTCGGCCACTCCCTCCCCGAGTCCCCACTCACTCCTGAGTCCTCAGGCCGCCTCTCTCCTAAGTCCTAATTGATAGACTATATTTTTAG